CTCAGCCGTGAACAGCAGCGTGGGGGACGCGTCCGCAGTTCCCGGCTCCACACTGGCTCCACTGCTTGATCACAGCTCCCAGGTGAGGCTGCACTGATGTGGGTAATAAGAGAGACCGAAAAGCTGGCTGAAATAAGCATTTGGAATTTCCATTTGCATGTGAGTAGATTAAAAAGATGAAAGTGATGTGCCCATAATTATATGATCACTACTATTAAAAAATGTGTGTGCCAACTTCTAATTACAAAGAGGATAGCATATACATGTTATCGCATCTCTTCCTTGAATCCCTGCCAAACTAAAAAATAAATAAATAAACATATAAAGCCAGAAGGGAAAAAGATCCAGATGAATGGGAGGTTGTAACACCGTCTAGAAGATGGAAAATGAGCACAGGCGTGGCAGCCAGATGAGAAGCAGCAGTCTATCAAGGAACACCACCAGCAGATGAATTCATTCGGAGCCCCAGGCTGCAGGCCACAAAGGCAGAGTGGGGTGGGTGCAGGCCTGGGAACAGGCAGGGCCTGTGTGTCTTAGAGGGAATGCCTGGACCCCCAGGCCGTCCCCCCAGGGCCCTCAGGATCCCCAGGTCCTGCACAAAAGCTTTCCCACAGAAAGAGCCAGCTCGCCCGGGAGCTTCCAGTGTGCTTGCTAGTGACGCTTTCCTTCTTTCTTTTTTAACTGTGGTAAAATACACACAACGTAAAATTTACCATCTTAAGCACTTCTAAGTGTACAGTTCCTGTTTCGTACACTCACACCGTGCAACCATTGCCATTATTCAGCCAAAGAAGTCTTTTCAGGTTCCCAAGCTAAAACTGTTCCCATTCATCACTAGCTCCCCACGCCTCCTTCCTCCAAGGGAGCCCCACACTCCTGTGTCTGTGAATGTGACCAATCGAGGTCCCTCATAGAAGTGGAATCATACAGTATTTGTCCTTTGTGACTGACATTTTTCACTCAGTATAATTTCCTCAAGTTTCATCCACACCGCAGCATACATCGGAGTTCACTTCCTTGTAAAAGCTGGATGATACTCTACTGCATGAATGGACCACATTGTGTTTATTCATTCACCCATCAGTGAATACTTGGGCCACTTCCACCTGCTGGCTTCCGCGAATGATGCTGCTATGAGCCTGCATGTGCAAAGAGCTTGGTGTTCCTGCTTCACAGTGACTCATTCCTACATACAGATAACTGAGGGCCAGAGAAAGCTGGAAAACGTCCCAACATGACAGACAGAAGCCAGTACACGTAAGGAGAGAGAGCTCTTGAACATTAAAACTAAAATAGTTCAAGTAAAAAATATTAGAAGCGTTGAAAGTGAAACCACAGGGCTCTTCCAGCAAGTAATATAAAATGAAAGGTCAAACACAGAGAAGATAAGAATCGATGCAGATGATCCAACATCAAAACAACAGGATTGGCCGGGCGTGGCGGCGCACGCCTGTAATCCCAGCACTCCGGAGGCTGAGGCAGGATGATCCTTGAGTTCAAAACCAGCCAGGGCTACAAAGTGAGCTCAAGGCGAGCCTGAATTGCACAGTGAGACCCTGGCTCAAAAAGAAAAATAAAATAAAAAAAACAGGATTTCCCATGAGAAGGGAAACAAAGTATTTAATCAAAGAAACAACGGAAGAGGGAAGTCAGAAGATGTTTCCTCAAAACTGGAAGAAATCAGTGTACCAATCAAACCCCTTCTGAGAGCCCAGCAGAGACGAAAACATAACATAGGTAACACATCATGTGAAATTTTCCCACATAAAGAATAAACAGCGGACACTGAGAACCTGCAGGACAAAAGTCAGGTTGTATAAAGGTTTGGGAAAAAGAACATTATCAGTCGCAACAGCAATACCGGCGACCAGACAGAACAATGCTTTTCAAATTCAGAGCAAGTGGGCTGGGGATTTAGCTCAGCAGCACAGCGCCTGCCTGGCAAGCACAAGGTCGTGAGTTCGATTCCCAGTACCGGAAAAAAATCAGAAAAGTAAACAAACAATCAAATTCAGAGCAAAATAATTTTTAAGCTTGAACTCGAAATTTAAGCACAACAATCAAAAAGGAGGCAAACGGGCCTCCCCACCAGGGGAGAACAGCTAAGTCTCGGAAGAGTCGAAGCAGGTCAGCGGGGGACAGAGGGTTCCAGCCCAGCCTTCCAGTCCGTGGCTTTGTTTCAGAGTCACTCACTGCACAGTGCGTACTGATGTCTACTGTGTGCCGCGACTGTTCTGTCCCAGTGCTGGTGACACACAGTAAACCAGAGTTCCTGCCTTCCTAGTGTTTTTATTCTACGGAAAGGGGGACAACAGACAAATACTTCTCCTTAGGGAAAGTGCTACGAGCAAGTAAGCAGGGTAAGAAGGGGACAGACTGTGACTGTGGGGCCCTAGCTTAGGGTGCAGGGGACCCTGGAGATCCAGAGCAGAGAGGCAGGAACCTGGGAGGGGCTGGGGGCAGCAATTCAGCAGCAGGACTTCGGGACCAGGCCACCCTCGCTCAGCTTCCGCTCTATCTAGATAAGTCTTCCGGGAGGACAAGATTTTCCTTGTGTTCTCATCCTTCTCCTTTCTTCTGCACCCTCCGGGAACTAAGTCCACCTGGAGCCCAGCAGCAGAGCGAAGCAGCCCCGTTACCCTGTGGCTCAGGCGGTCAGGCTGGTCCTCCTTCCCTCCTCTGTGGTACGGAGACTACACAAGCGTTGGCATGGGAGATGAGACCCAGGCATAACGTTTTACACTTGCCTTGCTCTTTATGTGGACTTTAAAGTGCAGAACATCTTACCATCTTCACTTACAGACGGAAAAATGGATGCGCTGCTAGGCGAGGAGTGTGCCCAGGGTCACAGATCACATTAGCTGCAGTGCAAACTCTAACTTGGGTCTGCCTCACAGGCCAATGCTAGGTCAAACGCAAACATAAAAATGTTTTTTGCCCTATTATATTTTCCCCATATACACAGAAATAAATCTCAAGTTGAGAGTGGTCCGTGAGAACAAAGACTCTTTTTAGCATTTAGTAAAATATGAGGCTACTTATAATAAAATATAAGGCTACGGTCCTTTCTAGGCAAGGTAAGAGACAGGCACCAGAGGTTGGTTAGATTTAACCTCAGATTAGTACAACTATACTCCTGGCAAAGAAATGCAAACTAGCCCGGTGTGCTGGTGCACGCCTGTAATCCCAGCACTCGGGAGACTGAGGCAGGGGGATCGTTGTGAGTTCGAGACCAGCCTGAGCTACAAAGTGAGCTCAAGGCCAGCCTGAGCTGCATAGTGAGACCCTGTCTCAAAAAGACAAAAAACAAACCAAAACAACAACAACAAAAAACAAATGCAAACTAAAGGATGGAATCAATTTTGCCTAGAAGAAGAAAGGTGCTTCAGGGGTTAACCTGCTGGAATTAGCTCATTTCTTCCAGAATATACCACCCTGGCCTCCCCTTCCAAGTGTGACACTCTCCTGTGCTGTCTTGGCCCTGCAGCTCTGTTCGCTTTGTCCTGGGAGCAAGGGAATGTTTGTGTTCGCCAGGCAGGTTCATGCGGAGGTGCAGGCTGAGAGGTGTGGCGCTGCGTGCCAGAGCTGGGAGTCAGCAGCCACAGCCCGGCTGCTCCTGCTGAACAAGGAGCTCTAGGGTGGCCCCGTCTCCGTCTGGGTCTGGCCGAGCTCCCAAAGCTGATTCAAAAATTGAGTCATCATTTGCAATCTGAAGTCAGGCAACTGGGAAGCCGGACTTCAAGCACTGCATTTCTATGGTATCTAACCCCTTAAAAATCACCCTGCATGTAATCCTCGAAACCGCTCCACAAGAGAAGCACACTTCCATCTGAAATTCACTTCGAAGGTGTCATAAGGGAAAGATGGACAACAGATAGACAGACAGATATGTGAAAGACACAAAGTAAAATGACAAAGGGAGAACCCAGGTACGAGCACTTATTGTAAAACCCACTCGGTTGTGTTGTGGCTTTGAACAGTTCCTAATAAACTGGGGCAGGCAGCAGGGAGGGACTCTCCCTTCCTCTGGGATGATCAGACGATCGCAATGTCCTCAGTGAATGATTCACTCAACAGCCCAGCCTCAGGCTTCCCGACTCTGCCCACCGACCTCCCCTCACCACGCAGCCTTCCCCAACAGTGCTGCTATAAAGTTAAAGCCACTGCCTCCTGACGCCAAATTCTCTTCACTGCCGCTCATACCCCATAAGCGCTTCCACATCAGACGGACGTCTAATGTCGAAATCGCCCCTTTCTCCCTGACTTCTGCTTCTTCTCTACACCCCTTGGGCGGCATCAAACAGCTCCACTCTCTCCTCAGCCCCCTCAGCACTTCCCACACCTGCCAACACTGTTAGGGACTCGGACACAGGGGCAAGGACAACGTCACAGCCCCTGCCTGAGGGAGCCTGTCTGGATGTGAGAGGCCGGCTCCCCGGGGACCTGCATAGGGTCAGAAGACAGAGACCTGTGGATGGGGCTGCCCCCGGGGCTCCCTCTCCACTGCCCACTGCACCTCTTTCCTGGGCTGAGGTAATGCTCACACAGAATAAAATCAACAATAACTCCACGGTATCACCCAACACTTAGTCCATAATCAAGATTTCCTGATTGTCTGAAACATGTGTTCAGGCTGAATGTCTATCACCTTTGGTTGTGATACAGGACCTCCTTGTTTAGGGCAACCAAGACTGAAGATTGAAGGCCTCTCATGTCTGCTTCCTCTGTACTGTACTCCCTCCAAGGTTTCCCATTTGCTTAAGAGCCTGTTCTTCTGTCTCTTGCATTTCACTAGGCCCTGATAGTCCGTTTAGGTATGCGAAGGCACCCGGCTCTGCTTAGGAGTTTATTCTGAGTTATCTGTTCAGGACCTGTGCCCTCTCTGCCTGGCCTATCAGCAGGCCTCTGCTGCATTCACGCAGGTCCTCTTTAGGGGCTGCCCCTCCCACACCTGGTTCAGTCAGTGCTGTTACTCTGTTGTGGAAACCGGGACACCTGTCCCTGCTGGCCTACATTCTGGACGTGGCTGCTTGCTTGTTTCTTCGTGGCACCTTTGTTTTATTTCTTCTCCCTCCCCCCAGCTTCTGTAAGTGGAACTTAATTCTCGAAGTGTGATTAATCTGAAGCTTCACTTTTTAGTAAAAATAATTTGTGGGTAGTGGGGTGTGCTTCCTGCTGTATCCCTCTGGGAGGCCCGGAGTGTTTGTGGGTGACTAACCAGTGCTGAGGCCATGCTCGCCTCAGTCTTCGTCTAGAAATTTACCCATTCATGGCCACTGTCTCAATTTATTGTCTGATTAAGTGCTGAAATATGATGACTCTTCTGAGCCCATCATTCTCATTCTCCCAATAGCTATTAGCGTCAACTCTTATATAAGGAGCTTTCCCTAATGTTACAACTATTTTTTTAACCTGCATTACACTGAAACAGGAAAGGGAGGATAACAGCGTAAGTGCCCCCGCCACACACTTCACAATGAGCTGCATTCCTAGATACTTTTTTAAATTTTATTTTCATCCAGGGTCTTGCTAAGTTGCCCAAGTTGCCTGGGCTGGGCTTGAATCTGTGATCCTCCTGCCTCAGCCTCACAGAGTGCTGGAATTACAGGCATGGACCACCATGCCCAGCGAAGTTTTTCCTTTTAATTGCTAACTTCCAGAGTAGGACTAGACCCTAACTCCTAACTCTTCCAATAGGATTCAATGAGTTTTTCTGGCTTTCTCTCTCTTTTAAAATGTTCTTTTGAACTCAGATTTTTACATGCTCTTTATTTCAATTAATTGCATGTGCATGCATGTGTGTGTGTGTGTGTGTGTGTGTGTGTGTGTGTGTGTTTCTCAAATCATCCCACCTGAGGCTAATGAGAGATCCTGCACACGGGCTTCTGTGTCTCCTGACATGAATCTATTAGTTGTTCTAATTTCTTTCCTTTCTGGCATAAAAAACCTGCAGTGCTGCCTTAATTGGCACCATAAAGTGTTGCGGTTCTGTTTGAATACTTCCTGCTCCAAACCTGGAACTGGCCATTGCTCCAAAGAGTCCTGATCAGGCTCCTCATTCTGAGCGCTAGACACGTCAACTGTTTTTTAACACTGCTTGGACAGGTGATGTGTGTTCATATGGATATTTCCAATTAAGACAGCACTATAGGGTTTTTACTTCACTTCATTTGCAGAGAAGGCTTTTAAACTCAATTTCCAAATCATATGCCTCTCACATTTTTGACTTTAGAAAAGTAAACCTCTATCTAGATTTTCCCTTCTTAAGAAGTTGGCTTTGGGGTATGTATGTACATATGCATGTATACATATAAGAATTTTTGTTTGTTGGTTTTTTAGGTTTCTTTAGGTTTTGTTTTTTGAGACACAGTCTCACTATGTAGTTCAGAGTGGCCTAGAACTTACTATGTAGCCTAGGTTGGCCTTGAACTTGCAGTGATTCTCCTGCCTCAGCCTTCTGAGAGCTAGAATTATAGGCATGCACCACTACACCTGGCTGAGAATTTTTAATCATGTTAGCAACTATGCTTTGTGCAGCTGTTAAAGGAATGAGTGTTGAAAATGCCTTTTCAGCCTCTATATACTTGTGTCTAAATTTTCTCCTTAGGTCTGCTAAGCTAATATGGTAAATGGATTAATAGACCACATCTGAATACTTGGATTAAGCACTACTTGATCATGGTCTATTTTTAAATGTATCATTAGATTCTGTTTGTTAACATTTGACTTAAAATTTTGCACTGACATTGACTAATAACATTGTTTTGCACTTTCCTTTTTGTAAGTCCTTTTCAAACTTTAATGTTATATTCACTTCAATGAGAAAACTTGGAATTTTCCTTTTTTTTTCCTGTGCTCTGGAAGAGTTTTAAGTATTATTGAGATTATCTGAGATTTAAAGATTTGGAAGAACTTCCCTGTGAGACCATCTGGGGAGGGAGCTTTTAATCAAGCTCTTTTGCAATTTTCATGCGTAGCTGGGCTCTTTCCATGTTGTCTCCACTGACATCAGCGTGGGTAAGTCAGATCTGCACAGAAAGTGGCCTGTTTCGTCTAGGTTTTTGCATGGAGTTGTGCCAAGTAGTCATTTATTTTATTTTAAATTTTTTGTTTGATATTTTCTCCTTGTCATATCTTATTCAAGATACACATTGCTTGCTTCCTCTACTTTTTTTAATTAGGTGGGCTAACAGTTTTTCTCTTTTCTACATCTTTATCTCAAGAACTGGGCTACTGATTTATTAATTCATCTGTTTACTAATCTGTTAGTCTCAGCTTTGGTATTTATTACAAAATATCTTTTTATCCCCTTTGCATTTATTTTTGTTATTTTCTCCCTCAGAATTAAATAGGACGCTTGGCTCACTTCTTTCTAATTTTTAAACATTTTTATTTCTATAGACATTTATGCTATGAATCTTCCTAAGCATCATTTCAACGACATCCCATAGACACTGATGCTATGTTTTTATTATTGTTATTTTTACAGAATTCTGTAGTTTTGTTCATATTTTCCTTTGAATCATAAAATGTCTGAGTTTCCAGCTTGAAGCTACTAGGATCTGTATGTGTCTCCTCACAGTTCCTACGTTGGAATCTAACCCCCGGCTGATGGTATTGAGACACCGGGTCAGGCCCGTGGTATTATTATAGCTAGCTAAGTCAGGTAGAAATATCAGGCAATCTGACAGGGCTGGGCCCTCAAGTGACTCAGTGCAAAAGATGCCAATCCATCAGGACTGTGGCTGGAGGCACATCTAAAGACTGAAGTCACAATGCCCAGTTATATATACTTTCCCAAGGTAAACAGAGGCTTGGGATTACTGCCATGATCCTTTTGAGATTTCCCATTATCTCACTGGGGTGGGCTCCCAACTACTAATACTAGGGCTAAGACTAAGACTGCTAAGATTAGAGGCAAGGCCAAGACTATAGATTATCGACCGGGGTTAATGACGTCACCCATGTACCTTTGATTCAAGAGATCAATATTACCTAAGTGACACTATTTGCAACCTTATTGGTTGATCATAACTTTGACCCACACTGTACCTGCTTCATGATTTTGCTCTATAAAACTTCCTTTGAAAGGTGGGCTCACTGGCAACCCATTTGGGACCCGCTCTCGTCTCTCAGTAGCTATTCCTATGTCCCATTCCTATTCTACAATAAATTTTACTCCTCGTAATGTCCACTGCTTCTTAGAATTCTTTATTTTACTTCGGGGGACATGAACTCAGTGTATTTAACATCTAGCATTTCCCCTGTATCAGTATGGCTCAGGGGTAGAGCACTTACTTAGCATGTGTAGGTCCTGGGTTCAATTTCCAGCACAATTATAAAGGCAGGAAAAGATGGCCACGTTGTGAGGGTAGAGCTCCCATGAATGAGATTAGAAGAGGACCCAGTCGGGTGTAGTGGAGCACGCCCATGATCCCAGCAATTGGGAGGCTGAGGTAGGAGGGTCAAGTTTGAAACTAGCCTGAGTTACTCAGTGAGTTCAAGGCCAGGCTGAACTACACAGCCAAATGGTCTCAAAAAACCAAAATAAAACACAGAAAAGAGGACCCAGAGAGTGCCTCGCCCTTCTACCAGGTGTTTACCAGGTGAAGTGAAGTGTCTACCAGGTGAAGACACTAGGTGACAGTGACAGTGGAGAGCAGGAGCCCTCACCAGACACCAAACCTGGTGCCTTCATCTGGGACTTTGCAGCCACTAGAACTGTAACAAATAAATTTCTATTGTTTATAAGCCACCAAGTGTGTGGTATTTTTATTACAGCAATCCAACAGACTGAAAAAAAGGACTCATTTTTCCCCAGTGAAAAAAATAACCTTTACTTAAACGTCTGAATGGTGAAGCACATAGGCACTCTTCAGGAAGTTTTGTCTTTATAGGTACTTAAATCTTTTTCTTTTGTTTCTTCTTCTAGTACTATTAGTTTTACTCCGAAGATATCACACTGCTGGTGAACACGTCTGACAGAGTATAAACTCCAGTCCTGGCTGTGTTACTAACCAGCTACTGTAAAACTTTCAGGAAGTTCAATGACTCCTCTGAGCTGCACTATCTTCCTATGTTTAAGTAGGGCGTTGACGGGAAGGTTTGTTTTAGGTCTAAATTCCATTCTATACCTGCACTGTAAGTGATAATTACCTCTGTTTTCTATTTAGAATAAATTGGCACTGAAGTAAAAAGCTGCTCCTCACCTGTCCTGGAGCTCTGAAGCAGTAGAATTAAAGAGTCTTGTGACCACTTTTTGCATTTCCCTCTCAACATCCACGTTAGTATCTTCTTTGAATATTAATGAAATTATGAGAGTATGTTAAGACTGTTTAGTAGTCTATTTCATGGAACTAATCTTAAGGACCAATCCTTTGAAGGAAGAAATGTAACTTTTTAAAACAAACTTTCCAGGGACTTTACATACACTGTAAAGAAATTTTCACTCTAAGGGCAAGTGACAGCCACTGGAAAGTTAGGAAAATGACTTTCAAAGGTGACTGTTTTCTTGGACTTCAAGATACTAAAAGATCTATGATCCGCCCCCAGGTCTGGGTCCTGGCAAAATCCGTCCCATTTCCTTCTATTAGTTCAGAAACGGGACAACAATCTATTCTCTTTTTGATTCCCCTAGGTAGCTATTTTGTGATTGTTGATGTTCTTTTTCTTTTTAGCCTTAAAAAAAAATCATGGTAAAATGCAAAGCAAGACTTCTCTTAACCGTGTTTAGGTGTAGCGTTCAGTAATGTTAAGTATATTGACACTGTTGTGAGCCAGTGTTTTTTGTTTGTTTGTCTGTTTACTTTATTTATTTATTTATTTATTTTTGGTAGCAGGAATCAAACTCAGGACCTTGTGCTTGCCAGGCAGGCGCTTGTTTCACTGAGCTATATCCCTAGCCTACAGTATTTATTTATTTATTTATTTATTTAGGTTTTTTGTTTTTTTTCTGGTACTGGGAATCAAACTCACGACCTTGCACTTGCCAGGCTGGTGCTGTGCCGCTGAGCTAAATCCCCAGCCCCTTTATTTTTATCATTATTAATTAATTAATTAATTTATTTTTTTGGTTTTGGTTTTTCT